ATCATGTAGAAGTATTCCATGGACTTTTCCATGAAAAATTCTCTTGTACAGGGCAGAAGTCTGTAATCGTGCCTTCTGAGGTCTATTTCAACTTTTAAATTTATTGTGTTTTTTTTTGTTTGGTTGGTTGGTTTTTTTTGTCGGTTGTGGGGCTTGAACTCTGGGCCTGGGTGCTGTCCCTCAGCTCTTCAGCTCTTCAGCTCAAGGCTAGTGCTGTACCACTTGAGCCACAGCATCACTCCAGTTTTCTGGTAATTTATTAGAGATGAGTCTCACAGACTTTGCTGCCCAGGCTGGCTTTGAACCGCAATCCTCAGATCTCAGCCCCCTGAGTTGCTAGGATTACAGGCATGAGCCACCAGTGCCCAGCTGGTCTTTGTTTTTTTTTTTTGCCAGTCCTGGGGCTTGAATTCTGGGCCTGGGCACTGTTGCTGAGCTTTGTTTTTGCTCAAGCCTAGCACTCTACCACTTGAGCTACAGTTCCACTTCCAGCTTTTTCTGAGTAATAGTTTATTGGAGATTCTTCTGCCCTGGCTGGTTTTGAAACTTGACCCTTGGATCTCAGCTTCCTGAGCAGCTAACATTACAGGCCACTGGCACCCAGCTAAATGTGTCGATTTTAATTTGGACCACTCTCTCAACTTTAAGAGATCACAGATGCCCAATGAAATATAAAATCAAAGCCTTTAAACCATTTTCTGAGTTTATTGTGAATCTGAATCTGTAATATGCTTGTCCATATTTTTTTCTTTTTTTTTTTTTTTTGCTTATGTGGTGCTGAGGAATCGAACCCAGGGCCTCAGGCATGCAAGGCAAGCGCTCTACCACTGAGCCACCTTCCCAGCCCGCTTGTCCATATTTTTGCATACATAATGTTGCTTGTTGATTTAAGAAGCCATAGCCAAGGTATGGTGGCTCATACCTGTAATCACAACTACTTAGAGGCAGAAGTAGGACGATTGAATTCCAGGGCCAACACTGAGCAAAAATTTGAAAACCCATGTGAAAACCCATCACAGCAAAAAAGGAGGGTCAGGGCCATGGTCAAGTGGCAGAGTCCATGACCAAGTCAAACTATAGCATCATAAAATGGGGGGGGGGCGCACACGGGGCGGGGGGGACGGGGAAGCCAGGCACCCATAGCTCACACCTGTAATCCTAGCTAGTCAGGAGGCTGAGATCTGAGGATCACATTTCAAAGCCAGCCCAGGCAGGAAAGTCCATGAGACTCTTTTTTTCTTTTTTTTTCTTTTTGGTCTGTCATGGGGCCTGAACTCTGGCCTGGCCACTGTCCCTTGGCTCTTCAGTTCAAGGCTAGCACTCTACCACTTGAGCCACAGTGCCACTTCCAGCTTTTTCTGCTTATGTTTTACAAAGGAATCAAACCTAGGGCCTCATGCATACAAGGCAAGCACTACCACTGATCCACCTTCCAATCCTCACCGCCCCCCCCCCACCTCCTATGAGACTCGTATCACCAATTCACCACCAGAAATCAAAAGTGGTGCTATGGTTCAGGTGGTAGAGTGCTCACCTTGAGCTGAAGAGCTGAGGGACATCACCCACACCCAGACTTCAAGCCCCACAACCGACTGAAAAAATAAAAATAGCATTCAGCCAATCAGCACTGGCTCAATCCTATAATCCTAGTTCCTCAGGAGACTGAGATCCTGTGGATTATAATTTGAAGTCAGTTTAGACAGAAAAAGTCCAAGAGAGTCTAACTTTAAACCCTTAAAGATGTAGGCTGAAGTAGGCTGATGTAGGCTGGCTCAAATACTGCATCACTGGCTGAAGAAGTCAATGCCTCTGAGTTCAAAGAGCATTGGCCTTGGGCAAAATAAGCTTAGGGGCAGTGATTAGGCCCTACAATTCAACCCTGCAATTAGCATACACCCACACATACAGAGAGACAGAGAGAGAGAGACAGAGAGACAGACAGAGACAGATTCTTGATAAGCTTCACACAATCATGGTGAAATTAGTATAATACCAGAAAGGAAAAGGGACACATAGAATGATAATGATTGGGAGGAGGGTAGATAGAGTGTCTCTTTTTAGAACTAAATATAAACTCGTGCTTCCACAAATATTAACGTTCTCAATCTCCCATTGAAGAAATGAAAATTCTTGTATTTATTTCATATAATAAGAACTTGATATTCAGACAGCTGAAATTACTTCCTAGGACAGGGAGCTTCCAAGCAGTGGAGCTGAGATTTGATACCAGGTATGTGGAGTCTAGAATCTGTGCACTTAAGTATTGTACTGGACTTAAAAGATACGTCACTGTGTGAGCACTCAATACTCCTTTGTTAAATTAAGTTTACAACCTCAAACTAAGAAACACTATAAACATACCTCACCTGAATGACCAGTGAAATTCTTTATCATTACAATATTTTCAAATTCTAACTCCCCTTTATTGAACACTGATTTAAGAAAATGCATTTTGCTATATACTGCCAAAAATGAAGTCATTATTCCATTCACTTACAATTAATGTAAATATAGGCTAGATCAGAAGTTCATGCACAAGAATCTGGCAGCAGAAAAAAATCTTAAGTTAATTCAGTTATTAAATGTTCCAATCTAATTATGTGATATAATATTCAGGAAAAAAGCAGTTATTTGGTGAGACTTTGGGAGTCAAAATATTATGATGATTTTATATGAAAAGATTCCAAACCAACAAGAAGATACACTCATATAATTCCTAAATTCCAGAAGATGAACAATTCAGGGTTTATTAACTATTTTATAATTAAATTACCTGCTTGGAAGCCAGGCACCAGTGGCTCAGGTCTGTAATCCTAGTTACTCAGAAGGTTTGATCTAAGGATCATGGTTTAAAGCCAGCCTGGAGAGGAGAGGCCCTGAGACTCTTATCTCCAATAAACCACTAGAAAACTGGAAGTGGTGCTGTGGCTCACTTCATAGAGCTCAAGCCCCACAACCGACAAAAACAAAAACAAAAAATCTGCCTGGCATTCTGCAGAATGGCCAAGTATATAGAAGTATATAAGTATATAGAAGTACATAAGTATATAGAAGTATGTAAGGATATAGAAGTATATAATCATCTTATTTTAGAAGTACAGACCACGAGTGGCAACACATATTAACCCTTCTCAATGATTCATAATATACTCTGAGTTTACCATCATATTTTAGAGCCACTTTGGATATGAGTAGACACAGAGATACTATAAGCACTGAACACCAAGCAAATGTTCCTAAAAGAGATGACTCAGAAAACATATGCAAATAGTGAGTTTGGCATAGTCCTGACAATGTCAGCACCACACAATTCTAAGGCAGACTGACACCATGTTTGGTAACCATGACATTATCTCCTAGCATATCATAAAGGGCCATGGAAACAACCAATAGAAGTTCCAGAACAGACTTCATCCTTCTGGGATTTTCTGATCGACCTCACCTGGAGCGCATCATCTCCGTGGCTGTCTTCATCTTCTATCTGGTGACTCTGGTAGGAAACACAGCCATCATCCTGGTGTCTTATCTAGACACCCAGCTCCACACCCCCATGTATTTCTTCTTGTCTAATTTGTCTGCTGTGGACCTCTGTTATACCACTAGCATCATCCCCCAGATGCTGGTAAATCTGTGGGGCCCAACAAAATCTATCACATACGGAGGCTGTGCACTCCAGTTCTTCTTCGCCCTTGACCTGGGAGCCACAGAATGTCTTCTCTTGGCTGTGATGGCCTATGACCGCTATGCTGCTGTGTGCCAGCCTCTCCACTACATGGTCATCATGCACCCTGGCCTTTGCCACAGGATGGTGCTGATCTCCTGGTTGGGGGGGTTGGGAAGTGCCCTAATTCTTTGCTCCTTGACATTGAAGTTGCCAAGATGTGGCAACCACCTAGTGGATAATTTTTTCTGTGAGATGCCAGCATTGATCAAGATGGCTTGTGTCCATTCAAGAGTCATTGAGGTTTTCGTCTTTACTCTTGGAGTTATATTTCTTCTAGTACCTCTGTCACTGATTCTCATCTCCTATGGAGTCATCACTCAAGCTGTAATGAGGATCAAGTCAGCCAGCAGGTGGAGAAAAGTCCTGAACACCTGTGGCTCCCACCTCACAGTAGTGACTCTGTTCTATGGGACAATCATTTACATGTACATGAGGCCACAGAAAACCACATCCCAAGATGAAGGGAAGTTCTTCACTCTCTTTTACACAATTGTCACACCCAGCCTGAACCCTCTGATCTATACTTTAAGAAACAAAGATGTAAAGAGTGCTCTGAGCAGAGTACTGGGAATGGACAAATGTTCCTCAAAAGTGTGAAGCAAATGGAAATGTCCTACCAGAGTGTAGGGAAACTAAAGAAATAATGGCCTTCCACAACAGAATCTGAACCGATTATCTTAATTTATCAGCAATTTTACCAAAATTTTATTAAACTTTTAATAAATGAGAAGTACCAGGAAATGTGAGGCAGGTAGAGATCCATGATAATGTACAATTCCTAGACATCAAAAACTAGTCAAACATCACTGTCAAATATGTAGCTACAAAATATGGTAGGTACAGAACCATAGATCTACAAAGTGTAACTTCTTTTTTCCCCATGCATTTTTATTTCTCTTGCTGATATGAGAATGTGGAGAGCATCTAGCTTTGGCAATGCACGTGGGAACAATATGAAAAGCTTCCTTGTTACTGCGGGGCACCCTGACCGCTGACATTCTGGGTCTCAATTCTCCAGAAGGCAATTGTGGCCCACTTATCACTATTAGCATTCAATTCATCAACCCTCACTTTAGACAGTAGAACTTAATAAAACATAGTGTTTCTATTTGGGGCTTCCCCTCTTCCTGAATGTTCTCCAAATTTCTGATTCCAAAAGTGAGTTTTTATCAGTTTGCACAGCTGTTTCCATTGCTGCCTTTTATTCTTATGGACGCAAGGTGGCGCTGTTGGAAAAATAAACAGTAGAAATGACTGTTCCAGATCTGCACAGGCCATGACGGTCCCAGAAGACTTTCCCTCCCTTGCCGTGGCAATTCTTTCAGTGGTCCTGGCGAACATGAAGTAACACTCGCCCTAGTTTTCAGGTCTTCGGATCTGAAAACCAGTCCTTTCCATCAGAATGCTTGCAATCTAGGGACTGGCGGAATTTCTCCAATAGGGAGGTTCTTGTGGCGTGACCCCATTGCCCTCTGCCTCCTAGAGATTCCCACACTTGTGGTCAGTGTTTTCATCCAACAGGAAACAAAAGCAAAGGAAAAGGTGTGGAGGGCGCACCGACTGCTCATTCTCCTTCCCAAGACTAAAGGACATCTTTTCCCAGACTTGTGTATAGTGACCAGTACGACCTTCGGATACTTTTCTCTGGGACAGGGAGGGGAGAGCTAGGAAGACTAAAATGGCTTGTGAATGAATGACTGAGCATTGAAATAAGAGGCGCCCTGATCACTGACATTCTGGATTTCCATTCTCCAAGCTCCCCTCTCCCCACGCCCCTTGACACTGAAACATCTGGGCTGCAGGACAAGTTGTAGCCCGAAGACCCCATTTATCTCCAGTGTCTTCTCTCGGAATACCCTTTTCTGATGTCGTTAGCCTTACAATCACTTCGAGTGTCTCTTGGGTGAAGAAGCATTAGTAAATGGGAGAGGGCCGACTGCAATCCCAACCTTTCCTGAATGACTTCCCAGGATCTTTGGGGGAGGAAAAGAAACAGGACAGTAGTCAATATGGCAGCACAGTAACAGCCACCATGTTGGGACTCTGATAAAGCAGGATCAGGGTGACAGAACATAGCATTGTCCTCCAAAGTTCTTGAACCTTCTGAAAGGCTAGAGACTACTCTGAGGCATCAGGAATTAGTGAGCCTGATGCAGTGAGGCAGTATTTTCCCTGTAGAAATACTATCCAAAGCACTCTAGTGCCTGAAAAGCTGAAGGAGCCAAACCTCCTGCTCCTACTCTTAAATATTTTGAAATTACCTCAATAATCAACCATTGCTAAACATGCGGGCAAAATGGATGTCTACATCACCATTGACTGGACCTGATGATGCTTAAGTTCGAGTTGTTTGGACTCTATGAAGCTTGAGACGGTGGGAATAAAATGACTGTTTATGTGATGGTTGTGGATTTTGAAAATGTTCACAGCTTCCCTCTGCTCCCTAGCAACAAGGGAGTTAGAGATTACTGTGTAGACCAACTGTGTCTCCTGTTCATGATTACAACCATGATTGATACCTTGTTTCCTGCACATACAGTAACCTTTCCTGTACTAAACTAAATAAATAGGCTTGTTTCCAAGAGCCCAGGGTTCAAGAGCTGGTGAGCCTTGTACCCCATGGTCCCCACTTGCTTAACTCCTTGTCTGTTATGTGTCTTCAGCTCCAATATCCAGACATGCTGTATCAGGATGCTGGTAGCAACAGTCAGTCCTTGAGAAATCTGAGATTAGAGGCAGCCCCTCTTTCCAATTCTACCTAGCTCACTTCCTAAGTATTCTGGAGTGAGATCCACTTCTTAAAAAATGATGAGAAGCCACTGGAGAAATGTAAGGGCCATTATTTGACTTGCACTTCTTTTTATTATTAGCTTACACTACACAGAGGGGAATTCCATTGTTCCATCTCTACACATCTATGTGTTCTGATCAATATGTCCCATTCACAATATGTTCCATCCTTTTATCCAAAACAAGTTCAAAATGGTTTCTTTATTCAACTTCCCTAGTTATGAACCTGACTTGCAGTTTTAAATACTACTATAGGCTCCTCTGAGGGTGTGTCTACCGTCTACCCCATGAGAAGGCAATAATGACAAGACCTATATGGTAAGGAACAGATTCACAATAAATGTTAGCACTGACATCACTCACTGATATTCTCGATAAAAGGATGCAGACTCTCAGGTGAGGTGGTAGTATATATGCAGATATTTATTTTTCTCCCTCCCCGATATTCCTTCAGATGCCCGAAATTCAGCACATGTGGCTTATTCACAATAAACATTCTGTGGCCACAGAGGTAAGATCAAAGCATTATTTGGACTTAGAATAATCCACCAATCCACCAATGACAAAGTTCCCTGATTGCGTGTTTATATTCTGTATATACCCTGAGATCATACACACAGTAAATAATTTCCATAAATAAAGCACTGAGATAATACAATAAATACCATAAAGCACTGTATATTAGAAGTTAGTAAGGGCTCTGGGGCAAAGTAAGGTAAGTGTCAGTAAGAACACGCAGAGGACAAAGACACAATGGTAAATAATGTTACATTCCCAAAGAGCAAGCATTCATTGGCATCAACACTGAGCAGAGGTAGATGGGGAGGAGACTAGGAAAAAACAGTGGACTCTGTGGTTTGTTACTTTCTTACTGGGGGGATTTCTCCTCACTGTGTTTTCTTCTCTTATGCCCATTAGTTAAGGTCCTAGCTCACTGGGAAAGCTTTCCCACACTTTTCTTTTTGTCCGTCCTGGGGCTAAACTCTAGGCCTGGGCGCTGCCCTTCAGCTCTTCAGCTCAAGGCGAGCGATCTACCACTTGAGCCACAACATCACTTCCAGTTTTGTGGTGGTTTATTGGAGATAAGATTTTCCTGCCCGGGCTGGCTTTGAGCTGTGATCCTCTGATCTCAGCCTCCTGAGTAGCTAGGATTACAGGTGTGAGCCACCGGTGCCCAGCTTCCCACACTTTTCACACATGTGTGGTCTCTCCCCTGTGTGAAGTCTTCTATGTACATTAAATCCTGAGCTTTGATGAAATGTCTTCCCACATCTACTACATCCAAAGGGTTTTCATTATGGACTTTGTTGTGAGGCATCAGACCAGAGTTGTAACTGAAGGTTTTCTCACACTGCTAGCATCCATAGGGCTTCTCCCCCTGTGGATTTGTCTGTGCTTCGTCAGGTCTGACTTCCTTACAAAGGTTTTCCCACGCTGGTTACAACTATATGTCTTCTCCCAGGTGTGAATTATTTTGTTTGGTAAGGTCAGAGCTGCAGCTGCAAGCCTTTTCACACTGTGTGCACTGGTAGGGCTTTTCTCCTGTGTGAATTCTCTTGTGTTTGGTGAGATCTGAATTCCCGATATGGTTTATCTCTGCTGTGTTTTTTGTTTGTTTGTGGGTCGTGGATCCTGAACTCTGGGCCTGGGCGCCATCTCTCAGCAATTCAGCTTTGAGCCACAGCACCACTTGTAGCTTTTTCTGTTTATGTGGTGTCCCGACCCGCAGGACTTTAACGAGGGCCATGAACCTAAGCGAGAAGGAATGAAGGGACAAGAGACAAGATTCTGATCAAGCTGCAAATTTTTATTTTTCACACAGGGGTATTTATATGCTTAGAATAAGGAAGCTTTTTCATTGGCCGTAGCAGCTGCAGGATGTTTGCTTAGGGCAGTGTGAAAAGGTGGTCGTTAGTAGCTGCAGGATGTCTGCTTGGGGCAGGATGAAAAGATCGGATTCTGTAAACAGCCTCAAGATGTTCCAGTGAGATAGTCAAGCCTATCCTGTTGAGGGACTCCCTTTTGGCTCCCGACAATGTGACACTAAGGAATCAATCCTAGAGCCTCATGCATGAGGGGCAAGCACTCTACCACTGAGCCACCTTCCCAGCCCATCTCTGGAGTGGAGTTTTTTTTATGCTGGGTCAGGGCAGAGCTCTGGCTGAAGGCCTTCCCAGCTCTTCACAGCTTCTCTCCTCCTCCTCCGTGATTCTTTTCTGCAGGACGAGGGTTGATGTCACCCTGTGGGATTTCCCAAATTCAGCATTTTCACACGGCCTCTCCTGACATTCATTTCCTCATGAGGAACAAGGCCTGACTGCCAACACTGTACATGTTCACAGCCTGTGCTGCCTTCACAAACACTGTGCCCACTAGGAATTCTCTTGTACACTACATCACCTGAGCTCATGCTTGACCTTTCCCTTAAATCTTGACCCTTCAGTCCTGGCATGCCCCTCAGAATTTCTTTCTCTTTGTCATTTGCCTCCAGAGAATGTGTATTCTTATTTTTTAATGATTCTCCTACAGAGTTTCCACGTTGATTCTTCTGGTACTTTTCAAGGTGACCCAGCTTGCTACCTCATTTCCAAAAGTCATTTCAACTGATGGTTCACCTCTTGTCTTCATCCTAAGAAAGAAACAAGAATATAAAAGAAAAAGAATAAAAGGAAAGGGAGAAAAGAGGGGGGGAACACTTTACTGAAGTTGGGGGAGGGGAGGGAAGATGCTGACAATGAGGAGGAGGAACACTGAGCTGGGAGTGGATTTCTCTAAGCCTAGCCAGACACTGGTGGCTCACGCCTATAATCCTAACTACTCAGGAGGCTGAGATCTGAGGATCAAGTGGTGAAACCAGCCCAGAAAAGGAAAGTCCATGAGACTCTTATCTCCAATTAATCACCAGAAAAACAGAAGTGGACCTAAATAAACTAAATGAAGCTAAAAGAATAGATTGTATCTCCAAAGATCCCATTAGAGAGCTCAACAATATCTAATGCTAACATATACTCCTACTTATTCAGACATAGGTGTCCTGGGATGGCATTCAAGGAGATCCTTTCTAGTAGACCGGTAGACCTTTTGAAAAGGATGCTGGATAACAGCAATAAAGATCTCATTGCACAAGTTGACCATTGCTACCCTTGTGGGAAGTCTAAGGGTGGTGGGGTAAGAGTATGAAAAAACGATGATTATTATAAAGTGGTAAAAAATAAAGTGAGCTGGGACGTAAAGGACTCGTATGCTTTTGAGTGATTGTAGATTGTGGTTCATTATCTTTCTAAAAATTGCAAGTTCAATATTGTTACCTAAGAATGATTTATACATTGTGTCCTTATACTGGCAAGATAAAGAAGGAAGGCATGAGGTAGAAACTTCCATTCGAATCTTTATGCTCACCTGCACAGGAGCTTCCGGGAATCTCAGTTGCTTGTGGATCAGGAACATAGGACTCCCAAACCTGCTCCAGCTGGGAGATCACAGCAGGTTTTGAAAACTGGAATGTTCCTTGTAAGGAAGGTAAGAGGATGCAATTTCCCAAAGACTAAAACTACTACAGAACATAGCTCTAAACATATCATCAGTAAGAAGTCAATAAATCAGCCTCTCAAAACAACAAATTCATGACATATCACAGGGAACCAAATCAGGGAACTAACTTTCTATCTCTGAAAGACACATTTTTAACAAGGCTTGTCTGTTTTTTTCTAATTAAGGTAATCATTTCTGATGGATTAAAAAAGTAAAGCAAAACCAAAGTAGGTGAGGGAAGCCCTTACCTAATGGAAGTAAATTCTCATAATTCTCAAGCGTCACATTCCTATAGAGACCCCTCTGAGCTGGAATCAGACACATCCATTCCTTCTGGGTGAAATACACAGCTATGTCTTCAAACGTCACCAGCTCCTGAAATAAGAAAGACTTGTTATCCTGGGAATCGTCTCATAGTGACTTCAATAAAAGAAACAAGGAGCTGCACACTGGTGGCTCCCTCACCTATAATCCTAAGGTCTCAGGAGGCTGAGATCTGTGGATCGAGAATCAAAGCAAGCTCTGGGGAAGAAAAGGCCATGAGACTATTAACTCCAATTAACTACCAAAAAGCTTGGAAGTGGAGCTGTGGCTCAAGTCGTAGTGCATGAGGCTTTAGCAAAAAAACTCAGGGACAGTGCCCATGCCCTGAATTCAAGCCACAGGACTAGCACAACAATAAATAAATAAACAAGGAGATCTGGCTAAAGTGTTACAACATTATTAAAGATTATGGAAAGGGTAGAGGGGAACAAACAGGAAAACTATAAGGACATTAGGTGATACGCTAAAAGAGTTAAATCATTAAATAAAACTAAAGACTAAACATAAACCTTAGAGTGGATTATCAAACACCACCCTGAGGGTGTAAATTATAACTGGTTTTCTTCGGGAAAAAGTATCACTATCCAGGAAGAGAGACTAAAGCCAAGCTCACCAGGGAATGGCTGACCCATAGTGCCTTTTCCTGTGTTCTGCCTTCTTGGTGATTTTCACAAGCCAACACAGAGAGAGGCAGGGGAGGCAGATGCTGAGAGAGGAGAAAGTAATCAGTGTAGCCATTCTGGACCAGTTCTGCAAGGGATATTTCCCTTAAATCTATTAATCTTTTCCCAATGTGTGCTGAAAACACAAACTATGGGGCTGGGGATTTAGCCCAGCTGAAGGGCGACCGCCCAGCACGCAAGGCCCTGGGTTCGGTCCTCAGCCCTGGAAAACACACACACACACACACACACACACACACACACACACACACAAACTATAATCACATAAACTAGAACCATCTGCTGTCAGCTCAGCTTGCTTCCCTGGTAACACTTGCCCCATTTCCCAATCTGTTAACAAGCTAAAACCCTCCTATGTGTTGTTTTGGAATGTAGGTGGTTGTGTGTGAGCATTTACTCTGAAAAGTCAGTATGCTAACTCAAGAGCTTCCCTTCTAATGCTTTATTGCCATCTGGGATACACTTCTCCCTCTTCTGCCTCATGACCAAAAAAAAAAAAAGATCAGGAGAAGAAGAGAAAAGATTTCGTGAATGGGAGCCCTGCCACATCAATTTTAAAACTCAAAGAATAGAGCAAGGAGAAAAGAATAGTGCAGAGTAAAGAAAGTTAAATCCAAATTTTAGGACTAGGGCAGTAGCGAGATTAAAAGTATAAATCGGTCGGGGCACCGGTGGCTCACGCCTGTAATCCTAGCTACTCAGGAGGCTGAGATCTGAGTATCACGGTTCAAAGGGGGGGGGCGGAGCGGGGCGGGGGGGGGGGGTGAAAGTCCGTGACATTCTTAGCTCCAATTAACCACCAGAAAACTGGAAGTGGTGCTGTGGCTCAAGTGGTAGAGCACAAGCCTTGAGCTGAAGAACTCAGGGACAGAGCCCAGACCCAGAGTTCAAGCCCCACAACCAATCCAAAAACAAAAACATAAATCCGGGACACCAGACCACCTGGGCTTTATTATCCCCAACTAACCAGCTGTGCCAACAGGAATAAGCATATTCCCTTCTCTCAGTGTAAGGTTGCTACCTAAAGATTGGGATAATACTAGAAAATACTTGACTGCGTCGTTTGAGAATTACATCGGCCTGTTCTAAATAGACATACTCAAGTCAATTGTTTGCCAAGTAAAACTTTAATCATTTAATTTTCAAGGATGGTTTAAAGGAGGAGGGGCAAATGAAGAAGGGGGGAACAGAAGAAAAGAGGAAAGGAACAAGGTGCCTGGCTGGAGGCACCACCCATATCCCATTCCACCTCACCTCTGCACCCCACGGCCCACCGAGCTCCCCACCAAGCCCACCTGCCCTCCTGCCCACCTGCCCAGCGGCCTCAGCTCTTCAGCTTTGCCGCAGTATTTTCAGGTCCTGAGTTTTCAGGATTGAGGTCGAGGAAGCCAAAAGGTATCTCCAGCCTAGGTCCAAGAAGCCCTGACACCTCCCACATCTGAGAGACCCGAGCCAACCAGCACCGAGGACCGCTGGGCGCTCCCTGGTTTCCATGGTAACGGGCTTCACACCCTTCTAGGATATGCAGATGATTCTTCTCTTTGGCCCTGCCCTATAGACCCTGAGAAACCGCTTGCTGTCTGAAATACACATAGCTCAGATTAATTTGGGGCTGTTACTACTTTTGGGGAAACAGATTGGCTTGAATAGAAAAATTTCCGTTTTCAGTGCACAATGAAAATAAAGAGGATGGAAACACTAGTTAACGTAAAAGTATGTTTGGGGAAATCCTTAACAAGCCACTGGAATTAGCCCAAAACAAATAATGTAAGTAAATGTATCCTAATTAGACTAGATTATTAAAATGGTTTAAAGAAAGTGTTTTACAGAGAAATTTTAGCTTTCAAAATGTAGAAAAATTTGTTGAAATAGATAACTCACAATATAACAACACCTAATAGATTGGTTGTTTTGGTCAAAGAGCATTAATGGATAAAACCATCAGAGGTAAGGTTGATGGGGGGGGGAACAAAAAACACGTTTCCTGCTGCACAGAAAAGAAAAACGAAAGCCAGTAGGTGGAACAGATTCAGGCCCACACAGTTGACCTAACCTATTCAAGAATTTAATAATTTAATTAAAATATTAATTCAATAATTTATTTATATTGGGCAGTTCAGATGCAGTTCGCATCTGAACTGGAGGGGGGCGGGAGAGAGAGAATGAGAGAGAGAACCAAACTAATGTGCAAATTAAATATTGAATAAACAGAAAATATTTGTCACCTCGGGTTTTGCCCTGGCGAGTCTGTCGGAAAGCTTAAGAGATTAACTGAAACAAGGTGTTGGATTGTTGCTTTAAAATTCAGAAACAAGGAACACAGATAAGTGCAGCGCGTTTGGCAAAACTGTGTTTTCAATCTGAGGGGTAAGATCATGTGGGAAAGTGGGAAGTGTATACGCTTCCCTGTCATAAAGGCCTCAACATTGGAGCAGGCTTAAAAATTCGCTAAGTGAATTTATTCCCTTTAATTCTTGAGGACATAGATTTAGCTCAAAACTGTCCATTCCTGGCCAGCCTTCCCTCCAGGATAGTAAGAATCACTGTGACCACCTTCCTGCAAACCTGCATTCTTCCCACGCTCCCTGAACCCTGGCACAACCTCCTGGGAGCTGACCCTCCTCACC